GATTTGGTTATTTATCTTGTTAAGCTTGTTAAAAGATCCTAATGTATAAATGATACTTATTTTCTGTTAATAAACAAGTATCTTGAGTTGTATGAACATCTTCTTAATTGCATGAATCTTATAGTATTGTGAAAAAAAGATTATATGCCTGGTATTAGTGAACATGAACCTAGGGTTAACTAGAAAATAAGTAAGTTAATGTGTGACCATGTGTGATGACCAACCACATATGATTTGATTGAATGACCAATTTTGTTAACTAATATTACAAGTCTTACTTGATTCCAACTGAACACTAGGAAGCTTGTTAGTTTAATGAATTTATCATTCTTTAAATTAACTTGTTTGCTAAAGGATTAGTAATAGTGAACATGAACCTAATCACATTAGAAATCGAAAACCATTGTTATATTAATCCATTGCACTTTCCACGAAATCAAACACAGAAGTATGGAGTTTAGCCAGTAACTACAGCAATTAACATCATAATCCTGAAATCTAATGTTATAAACATGATTTAAAATTAATATTAAGAGAAATATAGAAGTATTATGTCTTTGATCTCTTCGATTCCAAAGCCTCTAGTTGAAATCTGAAAACTAAAGCTTCTCAGAACCTTTCTAGCCTCCAAAAGTTGCCAAAAGCCTCCAGCATCAGTTAGGGTTCAAATGAGAAACGATATGTATATATATATTCCAAAAATCAGCTCTAACTCGTCAAGTTTTTTGGACAAACTCACCGAGTTTCTCACTTAAATCACGTGTACGGCAAGGCACTGTTCAATCGTGAACTTTCTTTGCAACTCGTAGAGTTTTTCGACCCAACTCATCAAGTTCGTTTGGAATAAATATTTTCTCAAAATAGGAAATTCGTCCAAAATTGTGTCTAGTCTTCAGAACATTTTGAAATTCGTCAATCGAAGCTACGAGTCATGAGATATGGCCAAAACACTAACGAGGGGTCAAGCTGTCCAACAACATCCTTCTTTCTTCAAAATCCAAGATCTAAGCTTCCAATCACCAATCATGCTTCCTTTTCCTTTTGAGCATGTCTTTGTTGCTGAAATGAAATTTTAAACTAATTAAGTACCTTTTGTTCATTGATATGTGTATTTTTATACATATTTTTTATATATTATATCTTAATATTTTAGCCTTTATTGTTCTTATTTAGAACTAAAAGGTACTTATAATACTTTGAATTGTAATTTACAGCTATTATATGTTGTTGGAGCGGAAATGGAGAAAAAGGCTCTGAAAAACAGAGTTGGACTACAAATATGAAAGAATTGGGCTGAAAGCGGGCCGAACGCCTTGCATTCCCATTATGAATGCGTTGTGTTCGTGTCTTGCTGATTACAGGATCACTTGTAGGAACGCACTGCGTTCCTTGGACCTACGTGTTGCGTTCGCTTAGTGGTGTAAAGTTGTTATATATTGACATTTAATTTGTTCTAATGAGGGATTCCGACTTCTAAGCCGTTGTGTTCGCTTGCGTTCCTTGGACCTACGCGTTGCGTTCGCACTTGTAAGCCGTTTTGAGGGTCTTGAAGGCAGCCGGAAGGTCGTTAAGCTGATAGGAACGAAGATCTGAAGGATTAGAGAGCGGATTCGTGTCGGTAATCATGTGGTTTGTTATCGTGACCATGTTCATCATTTCATTGTGATACTACTATGGTTTTACTTTTTGATTTTGGTGTCAAAACCATTTTCTTTGAGTTTAAGATTAGATAAAACCTTGATATGTGGATTAATCGTTATATTGGGTTGTTAATTTTTGTTTAATTTATCTTGCCAAGCTTGTTAAAATATCCTTATGTGTTAATGGCAATTATTTTATGTTAATTAAGTATATTGAGTTGTATGAACATCTGCTAGATTGCTTGTATCTTATGATTTTGATGACCATCAAGATTATATGCCTAGGAATAGCGAACGTAAAACTAGAGTTAACTAGGAAATAAGTAAGTTAATGTGTGAGCCTTGTGTGACAAACCATCAACAAGAGGTTAATTGAATTAGTAATTTGATTAACTATTATTAAAAGTCTTGCTTGATACGAATTGAACACTAGGAAACATGTTAGTTTAATCAATTGATCACTGCTTGAATTCACTTGTTTGCTAAAGAATTAGTAATAATAAACATGTACCTAGTCATTTTAGAAATCGGTGAACATGAATAAATAAATCTTTGTGTGCAATTATCTATGATTTTAAGATGTAATTTGTCTAAACCAAAGTACCTAAAGAGATTTGACTTCCTGTTAGTTTATCGAAATTTATAATTTAGTTATTCGTTTGTGATTTAATAAAACATTTATTTATTCCTTTCATGTGTTTTGTAACCTATAATCAAATATTTTAAATTAATTCACTATCGTTCATGTTGTGTTCGACACCCTTGTTTATCAAAGATATACTATTCTCGATCGGGTTCACTTCCTGTAAGGTGTGGTTTAGATGCGATGAATTATGAATTATAAATAAAAAACTAGTGCATTAAATATTCACATCAAGTTTTTTCAAAAACTTGATGTGAATATTTAATGCACTAGTTTTTTATTTATAATTCCTAATTCATCGCATCTAAACCACACCTTACAGCTGTGAACCCGATCGAGTATAGTATAGCTTTGATAAGCAAGGGTGTCGAACTCAAGGGGAACGGTAGTGAATTAATTTAAAATGTTTGATTATAGGTCACGAAACACACAAAAGGAATAAAGAAATGTATTATTAAATCTCAAAAGAATAAGTAAATAGCAAAAGTCGATAAACTGAATGGAAGACAAATCTCTTTAGATACTTTCGTTTAGATAGATTACATCATAAAACCATAGATAATTGCACATACTGATTTATTTATTCATGTTCACCGATTTCTAAAATGATTAGGTTCACGTTCGGTATTACTAATCGTTTAGCAAACAAGTTAATTCAAGCAATGATCAATTGATTAAACTAACATGTTGCCTAGTGTTCAATTCGTATCAATCAAGACATGTAAAAATAGTTAATCAAATTACTAATTCAATTAGCCTCTTGTTGATGGTTCGTCACACAAGGCTTACACATCAACTTACATATTTCCTAGTTAACCCTAGTTTCACGTTGCTATTCCTAGGCATATAATCTTGATGGTCATCAAAATCATAAGAGACAAGCAATCAAGCAGGTATTCATACAACTCAATATACTTAATTAACAGAAATTAATTGTCATTAACACATAAGGATCTTTTAACAAGCTTGGAAAGATAAATTAAACATAAATAAACAACCCAGTATAGCAATTAACCCACATATCAAGGTTTTATCTAATCATAAACTCAAAGCAAATGGTTTTGACACCAAAATCAGAAAGTAAAACATAGTAGTATCACAGTGGAATGCTAAACATGGTCACAGTAACAAACCACATGATTACCGACACGAATCCTCTCTCTAATCCTTTAGATCTTCGTTCATGTCAGCTTAACGGGTTTCTATCCGCCTTCTAGACCCTCAAAACGGCTTACTAGAAGTTACTTGTCAACTAAAATACGTTAGAAGTCAGAATCCCCCACCCCTTAGAACGAATTAAATGTCAATATATAGCAACTTTACACCACCAAGCGAACGCAGCGCGTAGGTCCAAGGAATGCAATGCGTTCCTCCAAGTGATCGCGTAATCAGCAAGACACAAACATAGCACGTTCATAATCGGAACGCAGGCCGTTCGGCCCGCTTTCAGCACAATTCTTTCATATTTGTAGTCCAACTCCGTTTTTCTGGGCCTTTTTCTCCATTTCCGCTCCAACAACATATAATAGCTGTAAATTACAATTCAAAGTATTATAAGTACCTTTTAGTTCTAAATAAGAATAATAAATGCTACAATATTCAGATAAAATATATAAAAATACACATATCAATGAACAAAAGGTACTTAATTAGTTTAAAATCTAATTTCAGTAACAAAGACATGATCAGAAGGAAAAGGAAGCAGGATTGGCAATTGGAAGCTTAGATCTTGGATTTTGAAGAAAGAAGGATGTTGTTGGACAACTTGACCCCTCGTTAGTGCTTTGGCCATATCTCATGACTCGTAACTCCGATTGACGAATTTAAAAATGTTCTAAAAACTAGACACAATTTTGGACAACTTTCCTATTTTGAGAAAATATTTATTCCAAACAAACTCGATGAGTTGGGTCCAAAAACTCTACGAGTTGCAAAGAAAGTTCATGATTGAACAGTGCCTTGCCGTACACGTGATTTAAGTGAGAAACTCGGCAAGTTTGTCCAAAAAAACTCGACGAGTTGGAGCTAATTATATATATATATATATATATATATATATATATATATATATATAGGATCAAATGAGAACACCTAAAAGGTTGGGAACGCGAGAACAGATCTGAAATATCTAAGTTTTAAGATGTGTGGCTATAATTAATTATTATTTGTTCTAATTATTAATACATTTAAATTTTAAATTTTAAATTAAAAAAAAAAATTGTAAAGCCTATTAAGGTAAATAAGCATTACCCTAATTTTGTAAACTCCTATAATTACTCTATGTCACTTTATTTTGTTGACCTAATCTCACAAATATATTCATCTCACCGCCTAATCTCATAGAACATATCAGAGCCGGAGGAGGCCATAGAATCAGCGGAAGAGCACTCCTACAACTCGATTTTTGTTCATCGGACCAGATTGGTTCCATTTTAATCAATCTCAACTTCAATTTCTTTCTGATGTTCATCCACTTTCTTTCTTGGCCCTCCCAATAGCACACGAACACACAGATAGATATACCCTTCGGTATCGTGGCTTCCTATGACAACAACCAACACATATGTTACGCTTCAGTTAATCAATCGATTCTCTGTTTTGTTGGTGAAGAGGAAGGTTCAAAATATGTTTTGCGCGATGGCTTTAGAGATGTAATCAAATCGGGATGTGGCAAGGAGAATTTTGATCCAAATTTTATCAAATCTGAACTAGCAGCGATGGATAAAATTATCGATGGTGGTAAGAACGTTGAAATTCAGAATACTTTTCAAATTTATTTAAATAATAAGACAATCAATGATTTGGTGGAAGAAAATGGATTCGTTTTGATACAAGCTACTTCTTATATGGTTAAAGGGTTTAATTCTTCCCAATCCAAGGCTGACAGTTCGCAACCTTCGTCACCTCCTTCTTTGAATGTTGGAATCCCTACTAAGGTTATTTTGGGTAGAATTCCTGGTATGTCCCCTGTTCATGAAACATCTCATGTTACGATTATTATTCCTATGAAGATTGTGAAACATTCTGGTAGTGGTAATGATGAAGTAATGAATGAGGGTTAAAATAATGATGTGAAGATGGGATCAGATACTAAGACTAATTTGAAAATGAAACAGGGAGTTAGTTTTTTGGATCTTAAATGGGATAATGAGCCGATGATTGTTGATAATGATTCCAAATCAAAATCGTCCCAGTGGTTACTATTGTCAATGATGTTAGCAAAAAGTCTTATGCTCGAATTGTTGAAGCTTCTATCTCCGTGGTTGATCTTTTAGGGGTATTCATTTATCCATTTGTGAATAATAGGGAACTCATTTGTTAATAACAGTGTATTCATTTGTGAATAGCAGTCAAATCATGTGTTAATAAATGTGTTTATTTATGATTAGAGGAATTCTTTTTATGAAGAAATGATAATTTTTACACTCTTTTTATTTTTCAGTAGATTAAAAAAAGGAATTAGATTACTTGTAAATTGATGTGTATTCATTTGTGATCGGAGAAGTATCAGGTTTTTTGAAAAAAAAAATCATTTGTGAATACAAATATATTAATTTAGGGGTCAATTTCTATTTACTTTTTTGAAAGAAAAAACCGTGAAATAGAAGAAAAACAATTGATTTTCTTAAAAAAAAAAATCCAGTTTTAAGATAGATTTTGGTAAAAAAAAAAAATTATATTCCATTAATAAAAAAAATAAAAAATTGAATATTTATTTCTGTATTGGTAACTGCTCCTAAATTTAAGGGAATTTGATTGAATTTTATTTTATTTTAATTTAATTAAAATATACAATTAGTAATATGTCCTTATATTTTGATTGGTCAAGAATTGTTCACGTATTCTCAATCTTTCAGGTGTTCTTATTTGATTCTTTCCGTGTATATATATATATATATATATATATATATATATATATATATATATATATATATATATATATATATATATATATGGTATCACTATAATTATATATTTTAAAAAAATGTCAGTTGATATATATATATATATATATATATATATATATATATATATATATATATATATATATATATATATATATATATATATATATATACACATAGAGAGAGAGAGAAGAGAAGAGGTATTTGGAAAACAAAAAAAAAATCATAAAAATACATTAAAAAAATACTTAGAGATTATTAAACTTTTTTTTTCATTTTTTTATAAACAAACCACAGGTTTTTTAATAAATTCGTTGAAAAAAATAAAAAATCAATTTAAAAAAAAAAATAAAAAAAATTCAAAAAAAAATCAATGAATTCATTTAAAAACCTGCAATTTTTTCATAAAAAAATTATAAAAAAAAAGTTGTGATCTCTAAGTATTTTTTTTATACATTTTTATGAATTTTAGGGTTTTTTGTTTTCTATAGAACCTAAACCTATATATATATATATATATATATATATATATATATATATATATATATATATATATATATATATATATATATATATATATATATATAATGTACACCACTTATGTATATTATGTACTCCACCTATATATATATATATATATATATATATATATATATATATATATATATATATATATATATATATATATATATATATATATATATATATATATATATATATATATATATATATATATTTATTGTTGGTACAATTAAATATGGGTATATTTGAATGGTGTACCAAACCAATAAAAAAAGGATAAAAAATAACAATAACACAAATCACTAGCACTAAATACACTAAAAATTGTATTGAGTAAGTAGAATTGGTCCAAAGGGATACGAGACTTAATATTTGACCGTACTTTCACATGATACACTAACCAATTGTTAAAAGGCAGATTTTTTTTTAACATTTAATTAACTTCACAAAATGATAAATTAAAGACTAAAATTCAGAATTAAAAAAGATGTTTCCGATTCTAATTCTCATTTTGAGTACAATGTTGTAAGATAAAATGTGATTTCAATTTATGTTCAATCTAGGTTATTATTTAAGATATTAATTTACTCTAATATCTCCAAATTTACAAAAATATTTTACTCAAAACAAGATCTTTAAGTAAAACTTCAATTAATTGACAAAATCCAAACAAGTTCTTTAGATTAAATCACTGAAAGACCTTAAGTTCAAACAATTAATACCAACAATGTCCAATTTTCCTCAGAAGCTCGGGAACATGAACATCCAATTTTTGATTACACTAATTGCGATTACATTGAAACCAATTAAGTGTTTGTTATCAACATCAAATCATAAAACATATACGAATTTCTCAATTTGACTAACAAAAATGATATGAACCCTAGTTTCATTAGTCAAGTGAATAGAGTACAAATCAAACATATAATAAAGAAAAAATCGAATATCACTAGATAGAAACATGAAATTAAGTTCACATCATAGTCTAACAAAAAGTATTTAAGGATCTAGAACCAAAAATGAAAGGAAAAGTTAGCTACACATGACTAAATCAAAATACGAATTCAAGAAGTTTAATCTTCAGACAGACTTACAAATTCGAAATCTAAATGTTTTCAAATTGCTAAGTGATGATAAAATATGTAAAAATTGCCCTTTGCTTGCTCTTGGTCGAAGTTATCTCCAAAATGGTCAAGAAACTACTTTAAAATGAATGTTTGAAAATAATAAAAAACTGTCTGCAATGATTCCATGTCATCGGAATGGAAAAACACTAAAATGCTAAAATCCTCATTCAACGGCCATGGAATGGTAAAGGTTTGGCATTCCACGACCATGGAATCGCTTGAATAAGCCTCCACTTTCATTTTTTTTCGTTTTCTTCAATCTTGATCAGATTCTCCTGAAATTTTGCATAGAGCTTCCCTCGAACATCCTAAGCATGCTTAAATCCTCGAATTCCCTTGAAAAATCCACAAAAAGGATGAAAAGTAGATTGATCCTTGAAAATGTCCCGAAAATGTGAAATGCATGCAAAGTCATACTAAAATGCAATGAAATGTTATGAATAAACATGTGAAAAGGTGCAACAGATGCACCTAGCAATATTATAACAATCTTTTTTGAATTTCCATTAGAACCAAAATTTATTAATGATGTATTTTAAGTGGGTGGATAGTTCAATAAATGTCATTCATAAAGACTTAACAGAGTTACACATTCTAGATTTCATCAAAATAGATAGAATTAGTAAATACTTATTATTCTAGTCGGACTATAAATTTACGTTAGTTGATATGGACACATGGGGAACTCAACCAAATCTTGTGAATCCTGATTCTTATGTGAGAATTTCCAAGAGTTCTATGATTTCCAAGAGTTCTATTATTTTCCTTAGGTTTATTTGATGAAACTTTTATGGATTTTGGTTAGAGGAGACAAATATGTTTAAGGATTAGGTTTATTTGGGTGAGTTTTGCGTGGCATTTAGTGTTTACTTGAATGAAAGTTTTATTTATTTATATGAGATTAAATTTTGTTGGTGTCATTGCTATAAATATTTCATATTAATCATTATAGTAAATTGTATAATTATATTTTGTAAAAATGTGGAAGTTTTTCAGTACGTGTGTAAGACACGAGTGTGGGGACTTACAATATTGTTTTGAATGTTAGTTGTAACACCCAAATTAGGTATGTATTATCTTCAATACTTCGAAGTTATAAGTTTCAATAATTGCCCTGCTCACAACATGAAGATTTCCTTTTTCATGTCGTGAGGATTGATCCAGACGCGCACATCATTTAAAAGTCCACGGCGTGAGGAGTATAGTGCTCATGACATGAAGGCGGTCGGCGACCCAAAACCCTAAGTTTTCGATGTTTAAGGGAATAAGAGGGCCAGGGTTCCTCACCCTCAACCTCTATCACTCTCTAAGCCTCCAGAAACCCTAATCTTAGCTTCCCTTGAAATCCTTTGTCATTTGGGTGCATTTCTAGCTTGTAGGAAGAAGAAAAGAAGAAGGAAGTACTCTAGTGTTGGTATGGATAGAGAATAAGCATCATCATCATCATCATCTTCGCTTTCTTTAAGTATCAAAGGCTCCAACTTTCTTGATTAGCATGGGTAGATCTTGAGTTTTGTCCATTTTATTGATGTTATTTCTTTATTGAGTGGAGTAGATGTTATATATGGGACCACATCATATATATGTAATGTTATTATTAAATCCAATTATTATGGTAAGAATATAAATTGTTGATGGACTGATTTATAGAATATTTACTGACCGTGTTGGTTGAGTTCCTGGTTTGACTCAAGATCCTCGAGATCCCTTCCATCTCTTACATTAGGGTATATCTCCATCTATATATACATGTGATGAGAAGCAGATCAAGACACACAAAATATACATGAAAATTCATTTAGGGTTTGCTAAGGGATTTTAGAGAGAGCTCAAGAGATCAACTTGAAAACCTAACCCTAGCTCTTCAGAATTGAAGATCATAATGAAATCAGTTATGTAATCGTTCTTTCAAGTTTAAAGTTTTCTTTTGACATATTCGAGATTAAAGATCCAAATTTTATGCTTCTGCGTTTACATTTGGTTATCAAAATAACTAACAATTTGTATCAGAGCCTCCTCAAATTTGTTATCAGAAATTTTAACTAGTTTCAGTTATTTTGATCTTCAGATTAAACATCCATGTTTATCATTGTTTGGGTTTAATATCTCTGAAACGGGTCTTCAATGAAACATATTTGTATATCTCTCACGCGTAAAAAAATATTTTAATTATTTGGTTCTTTCTTGTTGAACGATGATGATAGAAATAATTTACGTAAACCGTGTCTTCTTGTTACTCTTGTGAGACCAATACAAATTTTATTTGATATCTTTTATTTAAAAAGAAAAGGGGATTAATTAAAGGAATGATCATTTGGTTTTCGATCACAAAAAAAAAATTGTGGCGTTTTCTTTTGGTACATTTTATTTGATGAGGCTTAAATCTCTCATTGTGGAATAGGAAATATATGGTGATCTTTTGCTAGGGGAAGTGATTCGACACAACAATTTTTTTGTCATACACAACAATATATGCATTATAGAGTTGTACAGTACAACATTTAAAAT